GAATCTAGATCTGAATATCATCACTAAAGTGCTGAATCCTCTGAAAAAGAAATTCTCTAAGTGAAAATCTTGATATTATGAGCATCAAGCTTGCTTCAACTGCAGACATCAAAATCATGATATAAAAGATTACACACAGTATACACAGTCAAGAGAAACAAGAGAGTTAAAAAACTAGCAGAATCAGTGAGCTCAGAGACACTCACTGATATTCTATGAAAAGTCTTCAAAGTGAAAGAGATATCTGCATTAGAAGACTCTCTGAATTCTGTAAATATCAAGAGAAAGCAGGTGCCTGACTGAGATATAAGTGAGAATGAAGCAGACACTCATCTCAATGTCTTGAGACCTGAAATGTTAATGTATAAGAGACACTTGAGTAAGAATTGAGAGATGACTGCAAAAGTATTAGCAGACACAGAAGCTTCTATATAATATATTAATAATTATATAATCTGAAGACTGAAAGAAGTTTACTGAGTGAAGAATTTCTGATATATAAGATTATCTGATAACTGATATTTGATATTACTTATAAGAGTAAGAGTTCTCTTGCACTTCAGAGAATGATCTTGCTATATTTGAGTGTAAGAGCTGCAGAACATGAAATACAATCTTATTCTCAGACTTAATTAATTTCAAAGATTCAATCTGCAGATTCAATGATGTATATATCATATGCAATTAACTGATAGAAAGAAAACAGTTCATACAATTCTACTAACTGATATGAGAAGGACATTTTACATCTCTGATATAGAAGAATTAAATCTGTTTACACATTAATAAGCAAAGAGAATGATTTACAAGATCTTATTCAAAAGTATTCTGTATATCATATAGAACTCAGAAGCAGAGAAAATCAAGATAAAGAATATGTAGAAGGATAAACATATAAAGAAGCTTCTGAAGAAGTATGAGAAGATCTTCTGAACAGATCTTTCATCAGAATTGCTGCCAGAATAAGGATTCATACATGAGATTAACACAGAGAATGCAAAATCAGTCAATCAGAATGTGTACTCTCTATCACAAACACATCTTGAAGAATAGAAGTGTCAGATCACAGATCTTCTAGAACATAGTCTTATATAACTCTCATCAAGCATGTGAGGCTTTTCAGTCTTATTCATGAAAAAGGTGGATGAAGAGTAATGAATGTGTATCAATTATCAAGCACTTAATAAGCTTATAATCAAGAATGAATATTCATTATCACAGATTCAATAATAGTTGAACACAGTTGAAAATGTCTGATATCTATCAAAGATCAATCTTCTCTCAGAATACTGATAGATCTGTGTAGATAAACTATCAGTCTCATGAACTGTATTTAATATACAATAAGAGAAGTTTAAATTTCTGATAATATTATTTAATCTGATAAATGCATCTGTCATCTTTTAAATGATGATGAATACAATTCTTTATAAACAGAATGAAACCTTATATCTCATATATTTCAATGATATTCTAGTCTTTTCAAACTCATATAATAAATATCTGAAGCAACTTGATAAAGTGCTTACAACTCTGACAGAGTATAAGATCTATATTAAATTAATCAAGTGTATGTTTGAAATGAAAGAGTTGAAGTTCATAGAATATATAGTGAGTAATAACTGTATACATCTCATTCTGAAGAAATTGAATGTCATAGTAAATTAGCTGTAGCTGAGAAACATACATCATGTATAACAGTTTCTTGAATTGATCTCATATTATCACAGATTCATCAAGAATTTCACATGAATATCTGTATCACTCTCAGATCTCTTAAGAGAAATAGATACAAATCTGTGAAAGAAGAAGTTTCATTCAATCATCTGAAATACTGTGTATGAAGAGGCTTTTCTCACACTGAGAGAACATATAACAATATCTTCAGTGCTTATTCAATCAGATTGTGATAAACCTTTCTACATTGAGATAGACATATCTGAATGAGCTATTGAAGATGCTCTTCTACAGATAAGCAAGAACAGCAAGCTGCACTCAGTGATATATGATGATAGAAAACTATCAGATGCTGAGCTCAATTACTCAGTGTATAAAAAGGAATTGCTAGTAATTAAGCACACACTGATGTTATGAGATAGATATATCAACAACAGGTATACAACAACAGTGATCACAGATCATGAAAGTCTTATCTATCTATAATTGATAATAAAATCTTTTAAATACTTAGTACATTGAATCTCAGAGTTTCAAGTGTACAATCTTCATATTAAATACTGAAAGAGATCAGACACTGTGATATCTGATGTAATCAGTCACAGACTTGATTTCATGAGTGAGAGTTCTGTGAATCAGATATAAGAGAAGTTTGTATTAAATATACTGAGAGAGTGTAAGAAATCAGAATAAGTGAATATTATAATCTCTCACTTGAAGAATGATAAGATGTCAGATAACAAGTATCTCATAAGAGTAGTAGAAGAGATGCTTCTGAACTTCAAGCTGAGAAAATTGAAAAATAATATTATGCTTTACTGTGATCTAGAATATGCAGAAGCTCTCTATCTAGAATCTTTATTTAAACATGACTTAATGACTCACATGCATAAGGAATTCAGTCACTTAGAAAGTTCTGAACTCATAAGTGTACTTGAATTAAGAGTATACTGACTAAGCATGACTGAGAACATTCAGATGTACACTTATAAGTGCCTGAATTATCAGATTGCAAAAGAATCTAAGAAAGAGTTAGAATATGAGAAAGTGTATCATCAGGTGAAGTGTACAATACAATCATTTAAACAATAAGAGATGAATCTCATAGACATATTACTATGAATGTCAAATGAAAATCAATGAATAATCACTGCTATTGATTATACTACTGACTGGCCAGTTGTGAAAGCAGTTTCAGAGATAATAGAGAAGATGATAGCAAAGTTTCTACATGATGAGATCTATGTTAACTATGAAATGCTGTGTGAGATTCTAACTGATAACAGTGTGAATCTTGTAAGAGAAGCAGTGAGGCATTTCATGAGCCAGTTACAGACAAGACATTATAGAATAATATTATATTATTCATAAATGAATGAGAAGATGAAACACTTGAATGAAATCTTGAGTAATATGCTGATGAAATATCTAGTGAGTAAGTCTACAAGATTATAAGATGAATATCTCAGACAGATGCTATTAGTCATGTGAATTCAGCAGCATGCAGTTTTTAAGCATTCATCATTCTATCTGTTGTATGAATTATATTCACACATTCTGAAGAATGCTTTGAAAAAGGTGAGAAAGAGAACAGCAGTTGTGGACACAACAGTCACAGACACAACAGTTACAGATGTGAAATTAAGATTGAAAGAGATCAGTCATGCATATACAAAAGTTAACAAGTTACTTCTGAACTGAGCAATTCAATCAAAAAGAATACAAGACTCACTAGTTAAGAAATCAAGTCTCAAGATGAAAATATGAGTTCTCATATACAATGAGAGTTCTGAGAAGTTTCAATCTAAGTGATTTAGATCATATAAAATACTCAAATCACATTCTCTGAAAACTTATGCATTGAAGGAATCAGAGAGACAGATCTTATATAACTTAATAAATGATTTATAACTTGTAAAAATAAAGATGTAAGATCTGAGCAGATTATGATTATCTACAGCACTATTATCAGCATTGAAAAAGAAGAGACTTACAATTAAAAAGTCTCATGAAGTAAGAGAAATCATAGACACTTACAAATGAGATGATCTCACTTATTTCAATCTTTTCATAATTATAAGAAAAGAATGAGAAGAAATGAAGAAATCAGATAAATATCACACTTCAATAAGTGATAAGACTGTAGTCAGTCATATAATAATGCACTGCAGATAGTGAGTGCAATGTGACAAAGAGCAGTCTTAAAACAGCAGACTTATATATGAATCAGATTACAGAAGAAAAAGAGATTCAGAGTTGAATTCAACTGTTTATATCAGTTCAATTGTGAAGATCACAGAGAATGAACTATCTGAAACATTCATAAATACATGAGATTAAGTCATCTCAACCTCTGAGAATACTCAGAGATCAGATGAGATTAGTTTCAATAAGTTATTCACTGTAGTAATCTGAGTGAGTGAAGAGAGACAGTATAATGCATAAGACAGAATTACAAAAGATGAAAGCTATCAAATCTAGTCACTGAACACTGTATCATATAGAGATTGTGTAAGAGTAGTGACTAGCAGATAAAGAAAAAGTATAAGAAAAGAAAAGAAATAATGAATTGATCATCAACTGTAAGAGTTGACTGTAAAAGATAAATATTATTATATATATTTTATTCATTTTCATACATTACATATTTAATCTATTTTCAACACCACATCACTTAAAAAACATCAAAAACAAAGAAAATCTCAAAACTTGAGATTTGCAAGAGATTCAAGAGTCACAAGCTGCTCTTGTAATAACACTGTATATATCTTCAATTTCTCTATCACTCTGCATATGACCTTAATGTCATTTATTGCAAGATTGACTGGAATGCCAATATAGAAATGCATATACATATGGGTAGAAAAATTGAAGAAGAGCACAGAACTCACAGAATCAGAAGTCAGAGCAGAAGGAACAGAGGCAGAAGAAATAGAAGAAGAAGACACAGAACTGAATAAATGATAGCAGGAGTTATCTGAGGCTGAACACTTATAACTCAGTGTATGCACAATCTTTCTCACAGAGAAGAAAGAGAAAGTGATAGAAGAAGCTTAAAGATAGAAGAGAGTAGTCTCAGCAGCATTGTCATCTTTGATTAGAATGATCTCTGATGCTGAAGTAACTAAGAATCATTATTAGTGTATAAAAATCACAAAATCAGAGATGAGAACAGTTACTGAATGAATACTCACTGATCTTAGAGTTGTACATATAATTACAACATGCATAAGACTTCTCAGAAAGAGAGAGAGAGACACAGAGAAATGTAGAAAGCAGAATACAGCATGTGAATAACTCATTCTCACAATAACATCTCAGACAAGATGTATAAGTCTCATATTTGTGAGTGTAAAAGAGTACAATATTCATGTTTCTGTTTCTGAAAACATGAATATCTTTTATCTGCACTATAAAGTCAGATAATAGATATCAGAGAATAGGCTGATACAGATCTATTATCTTAAAGGAATTCATCAGAGTGAATATTTCTGTAATATTAAACTTTACAGTTGTAAAAAGCTTCTTGATATCTGTGAATATTATGACTTCATACACAGTAAAACCCATAATAACTTTCTCTAAGAATAGAAAGATTAGCATTAGAAAGAAAAGATGAAAAAGAAAAAGACTTACAATCTCAACACTGTTGAGAAGAGAAGTAATTCTCTGATATAAATGAATAATTGTTTCATCATAAATATTTAAAATGAATGTAATAATCAGTATTTATAACTGAGCTTCAGATAGTTGTATCATACACAGTCTTTATACAATAAATCATTCTGAAAGTTAGTAAGAAGAGCAGAAGTGTACACACTGAGAAACATGATTTATTAAGCCTATATAACATCTTCTTAAAACAGGGAGAGCTGGTAATGAAAGCAGAGATGATAAAACCAGGAGTAGCAGGAGTGAGAATCACAGGAACAGGGGTAGCAGAAGCGGGAGAACCAGACATAGAGACAAGTGTAGAAGATTGAGAAAGAGCAGCAGGGAAAGAAGCAGTAGAAGAGGTAGAGAGAGATGTGAGAGACTCAGTCACACATGACATAGACAATTTCTTCATTATTGTGTTCTTCAAGTTCTTGATCAATGATTCAACATTGAGTTCACTATCATCAGTGAACACAGATCTGTCAACATGTGAAGATTCTATATAAATAAAAACAAACATATCAGTATCTACATTCATGTAAAATCATGTCAGAAAACATGATCAGAAACTCACTGAGAAGAAAAAGAGTTAAGAATATATAAGAAGATGAAGAAGATATGCTATTTATAATAATATATTCTGATAATCATTAGAAGATAAATAAGTCCTGATTATATTTCACAACATGTTACACTTACTGCTAATAAACTGCCTGATATGAGTACTATGATAATGCTTGTTGTGAGAATAGAGAGTCATTGTCAGAAATGTGTACAATGTGATAGACAGACAGATAGAAAGAGTTGAACAGAAGAAGGAATAGAAATCTTGAATGATGATGACATTTGATGATGATGATGATGAAGAAGATGATTGAAGAATGAGAAAAGTTAGTGAATGAGAGATATAATATAGTGAAAGTTTCTTTGTGAGAGCATACACAGAATACTAGTCAAATCAGGAATAGATTATAAGATCATGAACACTAGTGACATGCTAATCTGCATGAAGCTAGGATGAACATCATGATCACATGAGCATGACCAAATCTGATGAGAGAGGATGTGATTTGAAAGAATGTACAATCATCAGATAATAATGCGGCTGCTTCTGAACTTGCTTGTGAGTGTAAAGGGGCCATAGCAGCCACTAATTAATTTAGCGTACGATATTACAATATATAAGAAGCCAGCGTACGCCTGTAATCGTACGCTGGCAAAAAGCACCTTTGAATCACAACATTGTGGCGCATTTCTACAATCTTATTATCAATGAGTGATGAGTTTCTGAGTATCTGCAAAATCCAGGTAATTAAGACAATATGAATACTATAAATTTGTGATAGAAGTTAATCTGAGCAGATGAGCTTTCTCTCTGCATCTCAATTGTTTCTGAGCTGAATACTTCAGTATAACTGAGAAAGCAGATACAGCTTTATAAGAGATATCTGATTACATATGCAGATAATCAGCTCTTAAGACTCTGTTACAACTGTGTATACTCTAATGTTCAGCTTCTCTGAAGTTTGTGCATTTCTGATGATCTTTGTGTTAAATGTAACAATTGTCTATATTATAAGTATAATACTCTCTGCTTCTTTAAAGAGAGAAATTGATAGTTGCAGAGAGATTGAGTATCACAGATATTAAGAATATAAGTGTGAATTTTCTTTATTTTTTCTTTATTAGTCTCTAAATTATATTCACAGTTCTGTTTTTATTTTCTTTATTTTTTAACTTTAATAAGAATATGATTTCTTCTTCTCTTTATATACACTGTGAACTGTTCATCTCAGTAGAAACTCATCATCTTATAGACTAGAATTTGTAAATGACAGTGTTAATATCTTTATTATTAGACTGGCCGCCGGGATCATGAATTTCATATTTGGTCTCATTTGGTCTGGTCTCATACATTTCTTGGCGTGAATCCCACTGGGACTAGTCATTAAAAAAACATGCAAAGTGACTATATATGAGATCTTAAAATGAAACCATGACTTGAAAAAAATGAGAAAGTGGTCTCATTTGATCTCATTTAGTCTCATTCTTGACATAAAGTTACTATTTTTAGACATTTTAAGGTTTTTTTAGACTATTTTTAATTTTTTAAAAAGTAACACTTTTTGATAACACTCAAATGAGATTTAAAGTCATTTAAAGCAATAAAAATAATTTAAATTGAGAAGTGAAAATCATGGTCTCATTTGAAAAATGTGACAAGAGTAGACAGTAAGTCTCACTGAGACAGTATGAAACTACTATCTAATGTTAAAACCGTGTAATGGAATCGGTCGAATTGGTAATGAGACTATCAAAAAATCTGGTCCTGGTCTCAGACACGGTCACACGGTCAATCTATTTATTATAATCAGATTCTTAGTAAAGACTGTGTTATTTTGACTTATCAGAATTCACAGTATAAAAGTCATGTCTCAGCTTCTACAGATATCTTATCTGTCTGAATAATTCTTAAGTGAACTCATTCATCTTGTCAGAATATTCTTATCACTTAACCTTGAATCAGAGCTCATAATCTTACTTCTCTGAGTCAATAATTTCTTTAATCTGATATTCTCTTTCACTCTCTAGTGTTTTGTAAATAGAGTGATGAGTTATAGAGTTCTCTTCTAAGAATTCCTTATATTTATAGAGTAAAGAGATGTGAAAAACATTGTATATCTGTAATTTAGATGACAGTTTCAATCTGTAGAACTGTGAGCTAACTTTCTTCATAATCTTGTAAGACTCTGTTTATAAGAGATTCAGCTTCTTACTAGATCTCTGTATGATAATATTTTCTAGACTCAGTCAGACTCTATTATCTTTCTTAAAACTCTTTATAATATGCTTAAAGTCATAGTATCTCTTCTGATACTTTTGAGTCTTTCTCAAGAATTCACAGACTTTCTCTCAGATATTCTGAATTCTCTTAGCCTGTTTACAGGCATTATCACACTCTATAGTGTACTCTTACAGATTTATTAAGATCATCTGCAGATGAGTCTCAGTGAGTATTTCAAAGAGAATTTTATCTGTACTGATATGCTTTGAGTTGTTATATACAAACTCTGTGAGTGATAATTAATACACTGAGTTATTCTGATTGTAATTGATAAAGTATCACAGATACTGTTTTAATATACTCATCAGACATTCTATCTGATCATTTGTCTGTTAATAAAAAGTCATACTTAGATCTTATAAGATCTTCAGTATAGTTATCAGATCAGATCAGAACTCTGTCTAAGACAATGTTTATAGATAACTCATGCAATCAGATCACATCATAAATAAAGATATGAGTTAAATTCTTTGACTTTAAGTTCTTGTGAGTGAGTATAAAGTGTGTTATCTTGATGAAGTGATCTACTATCATCAGCACACTGTCAAAGCAGGCATCATATATGTTCTTGCTTTCAGAGAGACTTATAAGAGTGTTTATTTCTAGCTGTTCTCAAGATTTCTGTAGAATGAATAGAGGAGTAAGTTCTTTATATGATCTGAACTGTACTATCTGTGAACTCTGATAAACAGTATAAGAATTCACTATTCTCTTCACAAGTTCTTGTATCTTCAGCTAGAAGTATTTGCTTATAAGCAACTCATGAGTTCTAGTATCTGTAAAATGACCTGCTAGAGAAGAGTTATAATACCTTTTAATAAGTTCTATATATAGAAACTTATTCATAGATATATAAATCTGACTCTCTCTTTATAAGAGACTATTTAAGTCTCTTCAATTCTTTGTTTCTGCAGAGTTGATCTCTGTTATAAGCAGTTTTCAAATATACTGAGTATATTCATTCTTCAGTTGCAGTTCAGACAATCTGAACAGAAGATCTTATAAAGACTTATACTCTGTTTTCTCTTATATCAGGTCTTCTATAATACTTCTCAAAGCTTACAAACTCTTCAGATTATAGATACTCTCATTAAGAATTCTCACAGAGATTCTCAGAGTGTTAACTCTTAGTGTTATAGAGAGTAGTTATACAGACTTCTTCTCTCTCTTTTCATTCTTCTCTTATAGAGAATTGAGAGACTCTTCAGTCAATCTTCTTACAACACTCAGTCTGAGTATTTCACAAAGCTTTTCTACCTTCTCTATCTTCTCTATGTCTGTCATTCTGATCTTCTTGACATAGTCAGACCAGTGAGAGAGTCTGTCTGCTGAGTTCTTGATTCTCTTAATATACTCTATCTTGAATCAGAACTCACTCAGTCTTTGAGTTCAGTGAATCTGTTATTATAAGAGTTTCTTGATTGAAGTAAACTGTTATAAGCTGTTATAATCAGTTCTAACAGTAATCACTGTCATGAGATTCTCAAAGTAGTGATATCAGTGATGAAAGAATTTCACTATTATAAGAAGCTTCTGATTATAAATGCTATAGTTGATCTCTGTAAGTGACATCTTTCACAAGAAAAAGATCACTGAAACTCAGTTCTCATTTAACTGTAGTTATAAGACTATTTCTGAAATTGCAAAGAAGAAGACATCTGTCTTCAATCTGATTAAGAGTGAGAGATCAAAGTGAAACAGTATCACTGTATTTATAAATATCTATTTCAATCTTACAAAGATCTCATGAGCTTCTGAGATAAGAAAGTTCTCACAGCTCTCTCTTCTTAACAATCTTTTTATTCTTCATTCATAGAATGACTTCTTCTTGTTTTCACTCTTCAGCATGTCTGTAAGAGTCAAGAAGATTCTCATGAATATAAAGATAAACTATCTATAGAAATTTACAAAGCTCAGAAAGATCTAAATCTCATGAATACTAGTTAACTCTGATTATGATAGAATAGTCTCAACTCATGAAGGTTTCATCTGAATATCATTCACAGTGATTACATATTCTAGAAAATTAATTCAATACATACTGAAGTTACACTTTATAAGCTTAATATACAGTTCTGTCTCATCTAAGACCTTTAACACAGTTTGCACATGCTCAGTGTGTTCTTTCTTCTTTATAAAGTACATCATCACATCATTCAGATATATTATTATAAAGACATTCAGATATATATGAAGTGTTTTATTAATGAAAGACTGAAATACTACAGAGATATTAGTCAAATCAAAAGACATCACTAGATATTCAAATAATCTCAGTGCAGTTTTAAAGACAGTCTTCA